AGAATTGCATTATTGATCATGAGTAACGTGAGTAATAATATTACTCGAGTGATGTCCAACTCTGGCCGTTGCGAGAGACAAATATTTGAATTATGCAGTTTTTTGTCTCTCTTGATGCATGTCACCCAAAATGAGTTCGCGTGTCCTCTGACACACGTGTCATAGGTTTGCCATCACTGTACTAGGAGGTCATGGTTCAATTTCCAGTTAGAGCACACGCCTGGGTTGCAGACTTGATCCCCAGTAGGGGGGATACAGGAGGCAGCCAATCAATGATTCTCTCTCATCGTTGATGTTTCTATCTCTCTCCCCCTCTCCCTTCTTCTCTCTGAAATCAATAAAAACATATTTTAAAAATTAAATTTAAAAAATGTTCTCAAGGTCTGGGTAGATCACTGTGCTGGGATTTGAACACAGGCCTGTGAGACTCTGGAGATCATGCTCTTGGAGTGAGTCATGGCCAGCCAGCTCAGCCACTGTTCACTGACCATCTACCTTTCAGCCTTGATCTCTGTCCTCAGGTCCAGACAGAGATGACTCACTAGAAAGCAGGGTCAGCCTCAGGTACTATTTTATTATTATTATCACTACCTTCATTAGCCAAATCATTGACTGCTTATTAAGCAGTTAGCCAGTGACGTGAGCTGTGCCCTGCACTGACACACCCTGGCCTTGGAACAGTCACATATCCTAGAATTGACAATGCCACAAAAAGCCAACACGCACACCATCCATCCATCATTCCACATTTCTCTTGACATCCACTTGTGCCAGACCCTGTGCTAGATGCCAAGTGACACAGAATAAATAAGATACAGTCCCTAATTTCATTGAACATCCTATCTATGGCAAAGAGACACACATAAGTAGTAATCGTAACACAGAATGATCTGAAGTGTAATAGAAGGAATACAACAGGCAGCAGGAGATAAGAAGAGGAAGTGATTAAATCTGCCTGGGGCGGGGGGGGGGGGTGGGGGAATCTGCCTGCTGGTGGGGAAAATGCTTCAAATCTGCCTGGAGGTGGGGAAAATGCTTCAGCCCAGTGGTGACTGCTCTGACCTAAAGAGAATGAATAGAAGTTTGCCAGGCAAATCAAGGGAAGAACATTCCAGACAGAAGGGATGGTAGGTGCAAGGGCATAGACGTATCAGGGAGCAAAGGTGCTTAGCTAACTACAGTGGTCTGGGGCCGCTTGGGGCCCAGGGCAGCAAGAGATGGTAGACAGAGACCATGTCACAGAACAAGGGAGCAGAGAAAGGCAACCCCAGTGAAACTGGTTGAGGTGACAAGGATAAGCTCTGAGAGAAATCAAGATTAACAAAGGGGATCACCCATTCCTTTGCTGGTAATTCTGGGTATCTACGAAGCATTTATTGAAAGCTGTGCTTAAACACATTACATGGATTATGTTATTTAATTCTCATAACAACTCTGTGCTGGAATTACTATCATTATCTCATTTTATGGATGAAGAAACCAGGGCACAGAGATGTTAAGTAACTTGCTCAGGTTGCAGTTAATAAGTAATAGAATCAGGATATGAACTCAGGTGGTCTGGATTTACAGTCCATGCCCTTAAACCAGTGGTTCTCAACCTGTGGGATTTAAGTTTTGATGAGAAATCTGGCCTGTGTGTTCTCCCATGGAAACGGCCCCATATTTTCTAGAAAGAGTTCCCAGTCAACACCCAATGGCACATCCCCATGTCAGTGCCAGGAATATTCATTCATCAATGATGATTTACTGAGAGTCTTCTACATACCTAGCATCATGCAAGGTCCTGGTAATTTAGTCACACAAATGGCAATTGTGTGTAATAATAAGTGCATAACTTCTCAAGTCATCTAACAGCTTTTACAAAGCACACCATCTTTATTTTGGTCCACATTACTCTCTGTAAAGCATTTATTTTTCAATTTTCATATTTTCAAACTATAGTTTTAACTAAACCTTTTTTGTAGAATATACAGAAAAGTACACAAATCAAGAATTATCACAAAATGAATACATCCCTGTAACAATTACTCAGCTCAAGAAATAGAAGAGCAGCCCTAACCAGTTTGGCTCAGTGGATAGAGGGTCGGCCTATGGACTGAAAGGTCCCAGGTTCCATTCTGGTCAAGGGCATGTACCTGGGTTGCAGGCACAGCCCCAGTGGGAGGTGTGTAGGAGGCAGCTGATCAATGTTTCTCTCTCATCAATGTTTCTAACTCTCTATCCCTCTCCCTTCCTCTCTGTAAAAAATCAGTAAAATATATTTTTTTAAAAAGAAATAGAAGAGCATTCAGAGACAGAGAAGCATCAATCAGACCATCAAACCTCAGAGGGGAAAAAACCAATAATAATAATAAATCAATAAAAAATGAAAATAAAAAAAAACCTCAGAGGGAAGGTAGGGGAGGGGGCGATCAGCTGCCTCCTGTACACCCCCTACTGGGGATATGCCCACAACCAAGGTACATGCCTTTGACTGGAATCGAACCCGGGACCCTTCAGTCCGCAGGCCGACACTCTATCCACTGAGCCAAACCGGTCAGGGCTGTAATAACTTAATCAATAAAAAAATTAAAAAAAATGAAATAGAAGAGCATTAATAACATCCCAGAAAATTTCCCATCACTACCCTCCCCCTCCCTGCAAAGGACATCACTACCCTTGATTTCATAAATGAGATTGCTTGTCTTAAACTTTATATAAATGAAATCATACAGAATGTACTCTGGTGTTTGTCATCTTTCACTCAGTATTATGTCTGAGATTCATCTTCTGCTGTGTAGCAATCCATTCATGTTCATTGTACAATATCCCATTATGCTACAATTGATTTACCCACATACTGCTGATGAACATTTGGTTCATCAAACAGTATTGCTAGGATTATGCTTGTACATGTCTTTCGGTGCACAGATGTTTGCAGACCTGTTGCTATATAACAAGAACTGGAACTCTAAGTCAAGAAAGTGTGCTCAACTTGAGCAGATCTTGCCAATTTTCCAAAATGGTGGTATTAATCTATACTTCCATAAGTGAATTTTAGAATCTAGATGTAACGGTTTTCCCATTCACAATTACCCAGATATTCATTAGAATTGTTATTGTTTTAATCTTTATTGTTGAAAGTATTCCATATGTCCCCTCTTCTCCCCATTAACCTCTGCTAGCCCACCCCTGCCTGTTTTTATTTTTATTTCTCAAATAGATATAAACTTGTGATCACCACAAAGTAACCACTTGCTTTATGTTTTTAAAATGAGTTATTTTCCCTTTTAAGATATTTTATTAAAATTGAATAAAACAAAATAATATTTACAAAATATATGTAAAGAATAAGAGTACAATGAACCTTCATCATTGTTCCATAGGTTATTATTACCATCAACTTTGAAGTTCCCAAAAGAAATGAATACCACGAATTTGGGGTTAATCATTTACTTTTCTTTATGATTTTATATTTACGTATCCCTAAAAACATTCTTAGTTTGTATTTTTGAATCTTTATATAAATAGAATCTTTATCTTTATATAAATAGAATAACGGTTTTCTGACTTGCTTATTTCCACTCAACATTATATACCTGAGATTATTAGTACTAAATGCCAATATTTTTTTCTTATAAACAATGAAGCTATGAATATTCATGTACGTTGTCAAATAAAAACAAATCTGGACTTAGTAGGAGAGACTTTACTTGAAATGATTATTGAAAGGGATTATTGCAATAGAAAAAGGGAAGCTTTTGCAATGGAAGAACACTCTGATCATAAGATCTACACGTGTTTCAAGGGTTAGGCAAAAAAGTTATTCTTTCATAGGGAGGAGTAAACAAGGCTAGAAAGAACTGGTTGTGAGGATGTGGTATGACCTTAAGTGGCATGATGGGTCAGTAGATCAGAGAATGTTTACCCTGAAGCCAGACTATTCTCTGGAGGGGCTGGTTAAGGAGGGGTTGTTTGCTGGCTCAAGCTGAGGGGGCTCTGGGGGGTCACAAAGTTCAGGGACCTGGGGGAAGGAGCAAAGATTAACCATAGTTTAGTTAACAAGCCTTTTTAAAAATTATTTATATTTTTCCACTGATCTTTTAGAGAGAGTGGAAGAGAGAAAGAAAGACAGAAATATCAATGTGAGAGAAATGCATCCTGCACCAGCCCCCACCAGGGCCAAGGGCCAGTTGGAGCCTGCAATCAAGGTAAGTGCTGTTGACCAGAATGGAACCCGGGACCCTCCCTTGGACTCACACTCTATCTATCCACTGAGCCAAACCGGCAGGGCCTTAACAAGCCTTTTGTTGTGATTGATCAGTGAGGTCAAACAGTCCATCTAAGTGTTTATGAGGTGAGAATTGGAATTTGGACTCTCTCTATTGCAGCGGTTCTCAACCTGTGGGTCGCGACCCTTTGGGGGTTGAACGACCCTTTCACAGGGGTCGCCTAAATACATCCTGCATATCAGATATTTACATTACAATTCATAACAGTAGCAAAATTAGTTATGTAGTAGCAACGAAAATAATTTCATGGTTGGGGGTTACCACAACATGAGGAACTGTATTAAAGGGTCGCGGCATTAGGAAGGTTGAGAACCACTGCTCTATTGTCATAGGTAAACAAGGGTGCGCCCATAAGTTTTATCTGTCATAGAAGGGTGTTTCTTTGCAGTAACCTATGTTTCAGAACGCAGAAGTGTGGGAGGGGTTTCATAACCCTCCCTATTTTCCAGGATCACAGGGTTGGTAAAGTGAAACAACGACAGGATATCTCCTGATAAACATAAGCAAGAATTTCTTTAAAGTATATACTTATAAGTGGAATTGCTGGATCAAAAGATATGTGTAACTTCACTTTTACAGGGCAATGCCAAATTGTTTTCAAAGTGGTTGTACCAGTTCATACTTCCACCAACAGTGTATGGTATCTCCACGTGCTCCACATTATCACCAACACGTAAGGATTAAAATATTTTTTGCCAGCCTGGTGGATATGACGAGGGTCTTAGTGCCTTTCCTTGATTAATGAGATTGAACACTTCGGACCACTTTTCAACTGGATTATCTTTTCTTACTGATTTGTGTAGGTCCATTAATATGACTTGGAAGATAAATGGATGAGCGACCTTAAAGTCTCTGAAATAAATGAGATTAAGTTTGGAAGATTCCCCAACAACTAAAAATCCTGAAAACTACTCCTCCCACAGGCTTCTAATTTGATTCTCAAGAGTTTATGAAAATCACCTCACTTCTCAGGTGATTTCCCCCATCATCGTCGGCTTCTCTCTGCAGAAAAAGTACCCGAACAACTAATCCGGCACCTATCCAGTTCGAGGTTCCACATCCACTGCCTCGGCAGCCTGATCAGGATCACACACTTGTGACACGGACCCCTGCGTCACTCGTGGCGTTCTCGCGAGAATTGGTTCCGTGGATCACGTGACAGCCCAAGATGGCGGTGCCCGGCGAGGCGGAAGAAGATGCGGCCGTTTACTTAATAGTGAGTGGCATCCCCTCGGAGTTGCGCTCGGCCCAGCTGCGGAGCTACTTCAGCCAGTTCCGGGAGCAGAGCGACTGCGGCTTTCTTTGTTTCCATTACCGGCACCGTCCTGAGCGGGCCCCTCCGCAGGCTACTCCCGCATCTGCCCTAACTCCTGCCGGCCAGAGTCTTGCCCAGACTTCAGTCACCGACGACCGCACGCGGGACTCTGTCCCGGTCCAGACCCGCACCTGCTGCTGCGTCGTCTCCGTACGAGGGTCCGCTCAAGCCCAGAAGTTTCTTCGCATGTATTCCGGCCGCCAGTGGCTAGATTCTCAGGGGACTTGGTTGCCCAGTCGTTGTTTCATCCGCAAACTTCGGTTACCTACTGAGGCAGCAGGTATGGCTGAGAAAGATAAATAGGACCTGGAACCAGGCACGTTTCTCTCTCTTTAAATATATTTTTATTGATTTCAGAGAGGAAGGAAGAGGGAGAGAGAGAGAGAAACATCAATGATGAGAATCATTGATCAGCTGCCTCCTGCAAGCCCCCCTTTCTCTTTGCAGCGGTTCTCAACCTGTTGGTCGCAGCCCCTTTGGCGGTCGAACGACCCTTTCACAGGGGTCGCCTAAGACCATCCTACATATCAGATATTTACATTATGGTTCATAACAGTAGCAACATTACAGTTATGAAGTAGCAACGAAAATAATTTTATGATTGGGTCACAACATGAGGAACTGTATTTAAAGGGCCAGAAGGTTGAGAACCGCTCCCCACCTGATTTTCAACTGACACAGAAGGATAAAAAGAAAGTCAGGTTTCTAATCCTCTTATTATCTTTATCTCGCTCTCCTGCTCCCCACCCGTCCTCTATTAGCAAGATACAAATGAAGAGACAGTTTCTTCTCTCAGGACAGCTCCTATTTTCATTGGAAATCACTTTAATGGGGAACAGGAAACAGTCGGAACCTTTTAATTCATTCAACAAACCTAGCTTATATTGTTAGGCCTAGTATTCCTCTAGCTCAGTGGGAATCTTTTTAAAATCCTGATTTCTGGGCCTCATCCTCCAGAAATTCTGTTTCTTTGATTCCCAGGTGATTCTAATGTGCAGCCAAGGTTGAGAACCACTGCTCTAGCTGGTAGTCAGAGAATTGGACACACTCTTGTGCACACAGTCCAGAGAGTTGTAAAAAGGTAATTGTCAGAGATGCCATTCTCATTGTTAATATTTACTGAGCATTTCCTGTGTACTTACTATGCACTATTCTAAACCTTTCTTTTTTTTTTTTATTCCTCACAACAATACTGTAAGGTAGGATCTATTGTTACTTGTGTTTTATAGGTGAGGAAACTGAGGGGTGCAGAAGTTATGTTGCTTGCCTAAGGTTACAGAGCTAGTAAATGGCAGAATCACAGTACAAACCCAAGCGTTTTACTTCAGAGCCTATGCTGTTTGTCACCAAGTGCTATGAGAAGATAGAGGAGGGAGAAACCGATTTCTGATAGGGATCAGGCTTTTCCTCTGGATCTTGAGAAAGATAACAAGTTTGTGGGGAAGAATGGTGTTCAAAGTAAATGGTATTTGAAAAGACACAGACAGAGATGTGAAAGCTCATGAGACTTTCAGGGCATGTTAAATTGAGCACATGATATGAAGGTGTGCAGGGGCTGACGGTTGGTGGTAGTTGAGGATCAAAAGATCAACAGGAACCAGGTCTGGAAGAAATGTGTGCTCGGCTGAAGTGATGAGAAATGGCATGAAATTACTAGTTGGTTCTGGTCAGGGAATGGAGGAAGGGATTCTGGGATTGTGAAAGGGAGGAACAGCATTGGACTAAAGGATTTAAACCTTGACCGGCTTCTGGCTCAAGTGTTGCTGGAGGCTTCTAGGTTTCAAGAGCCATTCTTCTCTCTGCTTCCCAAGGTTTGGGCTCCTTTCCCTTCAAGACCCGGAAGGAACTGCAGAGTCGGAAGGCTAAGAGTGAAGCCTTCACTCTCGCTGACCTGAGACAACTGCCAGAGCTGAACCCACCAGTGCTCATGCCCAATGGGAATGTGGGGACGCCCCTGCAGGTCTTTTTGGAGTTGATCCGGGCCTGCCGCCTGCCCCCTCGCATCATCACCCAGCTGCAGCTCCAGTTCCCCAAGACAGGCTCCTCTCGACGCTACGGCAATGTACCATTCAGGTATGAGGATTCAGAGACTGTGGAGCAGGAAGAGCTTGTGTACACGGCTGAGGGTGAGGAAATACCCCAGGGAACCTGCCTGACAGACGTACCAGCCAGCCTCTGTGGAGACCCCGAGGAAAAAGGGGATAAGGAGGAGGAAGAAGTATCACACTCAGATGATGTGAGTACAATGAGCCACCCTTCCTTGCTTGCTGGGGTCCAACCCCAGCAGGTCCAGGGGTTCCCCATAGGTGTGGACGGAGTCGGCGAAGAAGGAATGACATGGAGGCAGCGTTCAGTTGATCAGCAGCATAGCCAGGATCTCTAGCCAAGTTCTGATCAGGATCTCCAGCGAAGTTCTGGTTAGGATCTCCAGCCAGGTTCTGTGTCCATGTTCTCTTGCTAGGTTCTCCAGCCAGGTTCTGTAGCCATGTTC